GTCTTTCCTTTTTTCCTACAAGCAGAGGTTTCTCCTGGGTTCCAGCTTCCCCCACTTGGGGGATGAGTTGGTGGTGGATGGGAATTTTCTTCCTTACTCTGTTTGGGTATCCTGGGTTTCTGCACTCTGTGGGTTCTGCATGTATCTCTCCCTGGGTCAAAGCAGTTGCATGGGCTTCACATGTACCTCCTGCTCCCCAGGTGTGCTACTGCAGGGGGCAGAGCATTTCCCTCTGGGTTGCCCACTGGGTCACTGGTCTGTACATGCTCACCTCTTATCCTAGGCTCCACTGGTACCCCTCCTTGTGTTAATGCAGTCAAGTCATTGGCAGGCTGCTGTGGTGGCTTGGCTGCTGCTGTGACAGAGGGCTGTCCTGTGGCAGTGGTGGCAGTAAGCCACCCTTGTGGTGGTGGTGGCTGTGTCAGATCACCTGCATGGTAGTAGTGTCTGTGGCAGCAGTGAGCCTGCTGGCTGTCATTAGGGGCTGCCCTCGGCTCTTGAGGTCCCTGTGCCCCTGTCAGCTGTCAGCAAGGACTGCCTTGGCTCCTGAGGTCTTTGCACATTCCTGCCAGCTGTCAGCAGCGGCTGCCCATGACTCCTGAGGTCCCTATAACTAAACTTCTTGAGTCTGTGAGTTGATGTCTTTCAATGATTTTGGAAGAATTTCTGCTATTATCTTTTAAAAATATTTCTTCCTTCTCATTCCCCTCTCTTCTTCTGGGACTTCAGTTACAGATATGTTAAACTATTTGATGTGGTTCCATAAGTCTCTCATGCTTTATTAAGTTTGTTTTGCATTCTTTTTTCTCCCTGTGCTTTGATTTGTGTTTTCCTATTGATTTGTCTTGTGTTAATTGATTTTTTCCTTTTGCTATGCCCAGTCTGCTGTTAAGTGCATTCAATAAATTCTTAATTTTAGATTTTGTATTTTCAGTTTAAAATGCCTAATTTGTCCAGTCAAGATGGCAGAATAGATGGTCCCCAGCATCACTCTCTCCCACAAATCAATTTACAACTATAAAAAAGCAGTGACAGCCAAGCTGGGGGCCGCTAGAGCTCAGGGGAAGAGGAGGAGAGACCTATGGAGTGCACGAAGGTAGGAGAAGCCATGATGAGAGAAAGAAAAAACTGCTCTGATCGTTTCATGCCATGGCTGCTTTAAGGCTGGAGCTGCTGAGTGCATGGAGCAGGAGCCAGCAAAAGCAACAGCCGTGCCCTTCAGATGAAGTTGCTTGGAGACAGCAGGGCAGAAGAGGGACTTGGTAGCACCCAGGCCAGCAGTACCACCAACAGGGTTCCCGTGGACCCACATAGGACCAAGGAGCCACAACAACTTGAAGAAAGAGCCACTCAGAGGATGGTGAGTCATTGTGAGGGACCAGAGCATGGCCCGTCCCGTGGGAAGTGTTTGGAGCATGGGCAGTGGTGGAGATAGGCCCTCCAGTAGAATGCTGGGGCACAGCAAGGACAGCTGAACTGCCCCCCAATTGGTGCAGGACCACTCAGAGGAGACTGGTCAGGAATATAGAATTGCAAGGGATGCAGTTTGATGAAAAGACTCAGGCCCAGACCAGTGTGTCTATACAACCCAGGTGCATCAGACTTTGCCAGATCTGGAAGTACCTATAAAGTCGACTATTAAAACCTGAGGTGCACAAAAAGTCTTCCCTAGGGAATCAGCAGCAAAGCAGCAATTTAGCCCAACCACAGAGCTTAAGTACTGGTTCTCACAGGAAGTCCCCCCATTTTAGAAGTAAGTAAAGGACAGCAAATTAGTTCCAGTGCAGAGTTTAAGTGGTGGGAACAGCAAATAATCCAACACAGAACTGGAAGAAAAAAAAAGTACCCACAACCAGAGACAAAGTTTAATAACTAGTAAAGGTCTCATTTCACCAAAGAACACCTATAACACCTAGAAGGACCAGAAGTCCCCTGGGCTACCAAGCCAGGAAGAGAGGAGGACCAGGAGCCTCAGCCATGCCCCCCGACACCTGAAACCAGTCCCGAGGATGGGGGCTGAGGGCATCAGCCACGACCACTGAGCCACTGCAGGAGGTGCCCTGCACTCTCCTGAGCTGGGCAGTGGGGGGCCAAGGGTCTCAACCATGTACCCCCCGCAACCAGTCCAGTGACAACCAGCAAGCCTCAACAAGAAGTGCCCTGGGTTCCTGAGCTGGGGTGGTGGTGGGGGTGAGGGCTATTGTGACACCCCCTTGACATCTGCACCCAGCCCAGCAATGACCAAGCCACCACTGGAAGCCCACTGATCTCCCCTGTGGGAATTTGGGGGGTGCCACAGGCCTCAATCCCACCCCTCCTCCTTCCTCCTTCTTCCATCCCATTTCCTTCCTCTTTCCCCTCTCCTTCTCCTTCCCAACTGCTCCAAACCAACATCATAGAATGTAAAAAAATAATATTTATAAAATAAAAAATAAAATAAAATAAAATACCCAATTTATTCTTAGAGATTCCATTCATGGTATACTGATACATTGACGATCCCCAATGAATCATGCCACCCAGTGTTCATGCCCTTGTTTAGTCTTCCACATCAACCCTGGGTCATATCACTTGCTTTGGCCAATGGGACTTCAGCAAAAATAATATGAACAGAAGTTTGATAAGTGCTGCAGATTGGGGCTTACACTCTTGGACCCATCCATCATGTAAGAAGCCAAGGTTAACTTCTCTGAGGTGGAGAGGTTATGCAGAGACAGATGCAGTCACATGAGTGACCCCATATGAGAATGTTAGGAGAACTACTCCATCAGTGCACAGAACTGTGGGAAATAATAAATAGTTGTTATTTTAATTCACTAAATTTTGAAGTGCTTTTGTAATGCAGCAATAAAAAAATGAATACACTGTTTTTCTGTGTATTAGTTTAAATTTTCCATCCTTTCATCCATTTTATCAGTCTTTTCTTCTAATTTCTTTAGCATATTTATAGTAGTTATTATTTTTTTTTTCCTTTTTGTCTTTTTTCGTGACCGGCAACAGGATCGCAACCCTCGGCGTTGCTCCCGCGCCTCGCTCAGCCAGTGAGCGGCCAGTCTGTATGTGGGATCCGAATCGG